CTTACACGCTTTTATTTGCTCCACAACTGGGACGAGAACGACTTCATCGCAGAAGGCTACAGCTTGCTCGCAGAACTCTGAAATTGCAGAAATCATTTAACTACCGCTGAGATGTGTCATGTGGCATGACTGAACTGGCGTGGAATTCGGACTCTCTTAATGAAACCCCACGATCTCACCTGAGACAGGAGATTTCCCGGGACCGTTTTCATTGCACTTGGCTATCTGTTCCTCACACTTGGCAAAGCCCGCAGCCATCTTATCAAGTCTGAGTGAAAGCACGGTATCGATGGAATAACAATGAGGAAGCATTTCAACTCAGCCTTAGGTAGCAGTTTTCGGTCCGTCGCCATCTTTAAGCCCCCTTGGTAACTGAGACGATCCTCATCAAACACGCCTGTAGGCGCGAAAAACCCACACAGCCTGTGGTGCCACTACTCCAGAAATTATCATCAATCCCACTAAATTGACTTTGTTTGATGTAGACTTGATTATTCGCGATCCCAGTTCAGCCATCATCGAGGCTGAATGAAGTAGGATACTCTCAAAGACAATGGTATGACCGTCTCGGCCTAGGCGACCCCACCCGATGCCGAGGGGCCGATCAGGTGAACGTTGCGGTTGAGATTTTGATGTTGTTTGAAGAATTCGTTGACGAACTCGACCCTGAATGAGCAGAATGGCTCTATCGGATTGTCATCGGCAAGCAGCTCACAAGCTCTGCATCAAATTATCCCATCCACTCTCCACAGGTCCTATGCTGAACCCCGCAGGTACCGGTGCATCGACCCAGATACCATTAGTTCCTCTCGTCCAGGAGAACCTGAGAATGTAGAAACTCTGGATCCCATCGATCCATTGGCAACGGGCAATTTCCTTCGACTCACGTGTTCGTAACCAGGTGTTTGGAAGTCGGAGACATAAGGCATGGCCCATTCATCCGCAGCGTAGGTGATATGCTGCTTGAACCGGGGCCACCGTCGATGAATAAGAAAGTGGGCGCCGTCGTAGGGTTCCCATCGGCCTGTATGGAAGTGTAGAAGAACCTGCGGCAGGAGTAGTAAGCCAACACAGCACAGCCACTCGTGGCCAAATCCACTAACCTTTGGAGTGGACTGACTTTTATATATCCATACTCCTGTTTACCAGTGCCGCTGGGACACAGGACTTTACCAGTCTTAGAAAGTCCACGTGGGGGGCTTGAGGCACTTTCCGCACCAACGAGAGCTACGATGAATGATAGGATGAGGACCATAATAAAAACTTCTGAGCTACTATTGTACATGAAAATTCACATTCTCATATTCCTTCGGCATACTCAAGCTGCCTGTCCCCATCTTCTAATTAATGGAGTTTCATTTCATCTGTGATATGAAGACACTAGTGAATTTTTTCACTGCAAAATATATTTCCCGACTGCTGCATCGTGCGAAGAGTCTCACTCCTTGCCCAGGTAAATCACGTAGGGTCTCAACCACGGTGACACCGGGAGTCCAGGTTCGGGACAACCAGAGACGGGATCTGCGTGCTAATTGTCCTAGTGTGGACCACACTGTGACACAAATATCAGGAACAGTGACAGCCCAATCAGGGACAGTGACAGCCCAATCAGGGACAGTGACAGCCCAATCAGGGACAGTGATAGTTTTTAGGTTCCATTCGTCGCATCTGTAAACATGGCTATTCGTGGTCACATTCGTGAACTCCGCGAGCCGCCGACACTCTAGAGGGATGATCTCTTATCGTAACAGACCACTCATCCTCTTACTGGATCCCCCAAAGTGGCTTTCTGTTTCTCGTCAAGTTTGGGTACAAAGCAGGCTATGTCTGTGCCATGCGGGTCGAGGCTTTTCGGGCCCGGTTTGTGGAAACGATTAGAGTGATCGACGATCAGTGATCGTGCAGCGCGACTCGTGCTAGACCGTTTTGATGCGTCCCGCTTCCCGGGTCATTGTATGTCAAACAAAAAACCCTCACTCCGCAACCAGGTTGCGGCAACCTTCGGTGTTGTCAACACCGTGTTGAGAAGGCTCTCGGCATCGTATCATGTTTGCTGGCAAACACCTTCCAACTAGCAACACACGCATACTATCAAGGATAACTCCGCGATGCTTACTGGGTGGAGTAGTCCTCCGCCTTCCATGCCGCTAGTGCAGCAGCATGGCGGCGCTGTATTTCCTGCTCTACATGGGCTAACTGTAAATCTTCTACCAGAGCGGGCAGGCTGGCGGTGAGGAGATTGCTAATCGGCTTGGCCATCTTAGAGGCAACACTTTACATATCAAGCTCATCAGCCATATCACACATATTGTGTAACCTCGTCACGAGGATTGCTCCGAGCCAAGAAGGGATGACACTTACTCTACCCATCACGAGATTAAGCAAGTTCAACCGTCACCTAATGCCCTTTCACAGGGATCAAAGCCCCTCACTGAGATCGCCCCAGTTAAGACAATTCTTGCACTGATTCATCGGTGTATTGTGCTACTCAACTGGACACCTCACTATACAGTCGTCCTTCCCGGGCGGTACACCATGTTAGTGATTTGCCCATTGGATAACACTACACTGGATACAATTGCAGGACAATGCCTTACAGGGCCGGATTATACTTAGCCGTCGAAGACTATCTTCATCATAAGCTTAGCTAAGGATTCCTTCAGCCTAGAGAGACATATTGTGTGTTACGGGGGATTGGGACAGCGACAATGATGCAGCAGCGTCTCACACTTCGGACCTTTTCAGTGTGGGAAAATATGCACATCGGTAACTAAATGCGCCGGTGAAAAAGTTTCACTGAAAATGGCAACATGAGAACTCTGAGAGCAAACTTTTGTTGGTTCCTGTACATTTCTAATATGCATTTTAACAGCCACAATTGGTGAGGGTCCCTCACTGAGGGACCTCCTGACCTCAGCTGAGGAGAGCCAACGTATATTCCAAGTTGGAATATATGCTCGTGTAAGGACTTGTGTCACTGTCCCATTTGTGGTACAACTGTCCTTCAGCTAAGCTGTGCTAGATATTCATATATTCTGTAATACTATAAGTAACGTAAGAATAAGTTATTCATCCCTCGAGTCGAGTGGATTGTGTTAACGGTTATACGCGCAATATATGCCCGCTCGCAGCCGATTCAAAAGGACTGTCTGGAAATTGCGGTACTGATTTTCGGTCTCAACAAGAGATGTTCACTCACCGATGGCGAAGCACTCTGGGTGATAATTGTCCTTCAGGAAACATCGGAGTGAGCGAGCGTGAAGGACGGTACGTCTCCAACTTGGTCTACGAACGGTCTGATGCATGGTATAGGCCGTAGCGGGGTTAGGGGATAGGGGTTGCTCTAGAAGATCGTAAAAACTACTAGGCAGACTAAACTGTTAACTAAACTGTTTGGTAGTCTATTAGTTTCCACAAGTATACATACTTGTAATACTCGTAGAAAATAGAAGCAAGTATGCTCGTTGAATGTTAGTAATACTTTAAAAGTATTAATTTCATAGTCTACTAATAAACGAGCACTAATCGGATAAATCCTTTGAAGATGACTCAATTGCATTCGGGTATTGTAGCGGTTGAGAGTAGGCTTAGTCTTACGATTCACTGAGATTCACTTCGTGTTGTGCCGATTCGTCTCCTCCTATTCTATTTCTATCGCTATTGATAGCTGCTCTGAGTCGCTATCGTTGTGCGTGTATTATACAGTAGTCGTGTTCGTCGTGGGAAGATACGACAGACCTGTCAGGATATCGCAGCTGTACACCCAAAGCAGCTGGCAGCAGTCTGATCCTCCGTCTAACTCGATACCTAGTCGCCGATGCTATCCGTCTTGCGGGTGAGGGGAAAGGGAGCTGAACGATTATTCTTATCGGTTCTCGTTATATTGGCTTGCCGTGGTCATTAATGGAAATTACTGT